AACGCAACAGGATTGTTTTAATATTAGTTTCTATCTCGATTTCATTTACCATGATGAATGGTGTATACTTCTGATCAACATATTTGTATTTATTTTGATACGTTGCAAACTGATTATTCTGCTAATTCGGGACATTTATCTTTACGTAAAAAGAAGAAGAAAATGTAACACGGAATTGATCACTAGGCAACATGTTTATCCTTTACATTATGGTTTTCTCTCTCTTTACTTCTAAGTTGTTATAACTCATGTTCGTGATCGTTTATAGTTATATTTTTTCTTGTTTTCTCTTGTTTGTGTGTTACTATTCGTTTATTAGTTTCTATTTAGTATCTCGTGTTTGTTTTCTCGTGAACAGATGAAGCTGTTCACTGGCAAAGGGTGGAGGTGTTAGGTAGTGGCGCTATCTGCGACCACTACCTCTCATTGTTCTCATATCTATCTATTGGTCAAGAGACCTAAGTGAAGTCGGATTGGAAGAAGTTGTAGTTGAAGTGATTCTAGTTGAAGTCGGTTTGAAGAAATAAAGAGTTAGGTAAACGTAACTATCTAACAGAAGTATCACTAAGAAAACGACATTGTCGTAGTACTTACTAATACTATATGGCAATACTGAAGTTAAGTGCATCCGATCTGCTACAGCTCAAGTTATGATCCGAAAACTTTCGATCAGCTTGATAACGGAGTGAAGAAAATGATTCATCCAAGAGTTGGTGTTATCGAAATACCCCATTTTACTAAAGTTACAACTCAAATTGGTCTATGAACTAGATATTTAACATGAATCTGCAAGAGTAGATCATAGATTAAATCAAACTGGCTTTTTCTAACTCGATTGCGGTTATATTTGTCCTCATTTTTGCTCAACCTCATGTGGGTTCATTTTGTTTCGGTGCGTTTTCCATCTAGAGTGCACATATTCATTCCCGGGTGCACGTTCACAGATAGATAAATCTAACCTTTACATCTTTTGAATCAAATCCACTCGCAATCAGGAAAAACTAAAATTATTAAGATAATCACGACAAATATAAATTTCAAATATTTCACACGAATTGAGCAATTATTTTCATGATCTTTCTTTGGAAGAACTTGAAGATATTTACCATTTTCGAAAATTGTTTCAACTTTTCTGATGGAGGCAGCGTGTAACTATTCTATAAGCCTGCAAGGCCTGTAGTCTTATAATCACAACAGATTTTTAACGGAGCGGCTAGTTTTGTTTCATATATGCGGTGAACGCGATCCTTTTAAACATGACATAGTTGATAGAAAGCTTTGCCTCGTTCTATAATTATTAGATGAAAAAAAAAGAGAACTTTCAAAAAACGCGAAAACTACAGGTGTAGGACTAATTTAATCCAGTTTCATCTACATATGCGATAAATTCCTCACCATTTAGAGAAGAATGAGACAAAATTCCCGAGTACTTATCCAGTTCGTGTCCGTTCGTAGATCCGCTAATCTAGAATTCTAGGAGTTAAGTATGAATAAATTCTTCGTTCTACAATAAAAGTTGACATACCAAGAATAAACTGAAGACTTTGAAAAAAGCTTTCAACATCTTAGTATAGGTGAGCGGCTAGCCGGCGCCAAATTGAAAATCAATTTCACCACAGGATGCCTATAGCCTATTCGTAATAAGATCTCACATAACCATACGATACATCTAACACACTATAAACATCATCGAATGGTACCCTCAAAAATTTCTCCTACAAAGAATTTCTATCACCAAAATGAGACGATCTAAACTGCTTCTAATCGATTATAAACTTGCTTGAACTACAAAATTTCAAAAAACCGACAATGACATCGTGTTCCCCGACCCCGATTACTTAAGGTCAACCCTTATAAAAAAAAGACTATTTTTTTCCAAAAAAGTCTTTCTCTCTCCTAAAAAAAGCAAAATACAAAATTTCAAAAAACTAACATCAGATTCGGATTCAAAGGTCCCGAAAAGTTTCGATCAAACCTATCCCTAGAGATATTGTTTCAGGTTAGTTAAGTTTATGCAACTACTTTCCTATTGGACGAACGAAAGCATTTAACTCGTTTTCGTAATATCCCCCTTTCAGTAGAGGGAATAACTACAAGTGTCAAGTCGAAGTTCCGCCACAGCTTTGCTCTTCTCTGATTGATTAATGACGAAGATAATAAACTAGTTTTAGGCTTATGATTTGGAAAAAGGGTTTATCAGATATTTCAAAAACGGGAAAAGGAGTATGTGTCACGTTGCACCTTCATAAGCCCTTTTTTTAACGATGTTGTTATGTGTGATAGTGTTTCAGCGACCTGTCTCAAAAATATTTTCAATTTCCTTGAATTCGACTACAATAGTTTTATATACCAAAATGTTTGGATGATGGCTCCTGGCTATTTTTATTTATACATAAGATCTTCTTGAATAACAAAGTCGTTTTATTTGAATATTTTCATCTCATGGCTGAGAAGTAGGAGCACTTTTCTATTTCAATTTCTTGTCAAATAGATTTTAGCATTCAAGTCATTTTTAACAAGCATTAATAAGAATCAAGTGGAGTGAAGAAATTATTTTCGTTTCCTGTTAATTGTTGTAATTGGTAGTGCAAAAAGATCTAAACAGTGCTTGAAGTATCTAAGGCGGAATTTTAGCATCATTTCTCGTCGTTTTCTTTTACGTATCCACCACTAACTGAACATGGTATATCAACAAATACTCACTACACTATATGAACTACTTTATTATCATAGTGTTTGAGGATTAAATTTGAAAAAAAAGGATATGAAAATATTTTCCATGGTATCTTTTTAAAATAAAACTATCTTCTTTTGGTTGATAATAGTAACTACAATATGTTTCATAATTGAATTGTGTAGTGATAGATCTACTCGTTTTTTTGCATAAAATAGTTGCTTCTCAATTTAGCTTTAATGTCGACGAAATCAATCTTCATTTTTGGCAAAAATTTGAATTAGGATTGTTGTCCCATTTTTAACGGATCCACTTGCGACAAATTCATAGTAGTTGTGATTTGGCGATGCCCAGATAAGTGAATTCTCTGGATTGAGTATGATACTGACACCATGAGGATAATTCAAATCTTCATTCAAATAGATAACTGTCGGTTGTTGAATGTCTGTATTGATAATAAACTGTAGTTCGAATAGGTTCGTGGTAGGAAAAAAGGACATTGATATTGGCAGACCTTACAATAGTCGAATAAAGTTGCTTTTCATTATATGTTCGATTTAATTCATTACCTGCAATGGCTTGTGCGTATGATCTTGAGAGTGCCTGTACCTTGTTTAGTTCCAATTCACCATCGTCAGTATAGAATGATTCCGTCGTAGCAGGTCTTACTGATGTCGTTAAATCAGCATACTTCTTGAATTGCCAATAAGTCCAACCTGATGATGGCAAGCAGATAAATATTTCAAACTATTCATTTTATTCTTACTTTGCAGAAAATCATCGGCAATGGCCGTCACTCGATTAAGTTCTTCGATACCTTCGGTTGAATTGCTGTTTCCACCAAACTCAGTTATCATCATACCACCAAATTTTTTCTTACGGGCTTCTTGCACACGTAAATAGATTAGAATATTATCAAATAAATCACACACCAGGTCTGATTTAGGATCGCCTTGCTTTGTCACATCCAAGCAGTAGTTGTGATAACTAAATACTTGCCGATTGTTGTATTCCTTACCACCTGGTCCTTCAGTGAAACCTGTATGCAGCAGATCAAAGACACACGGTTCGAAAAAGATCAAATGTTTGTCGTCAACTGTTCGAATTACTTCATGCAACTTTTTGTACATCGGAGCCAAATAAAGTTGATCAATTAAACCCACTTGCAGAACATCCGTCAATGCTGGAAACGATGGTTCGTTCATGAGTTCATAGCCAAGAATAGATGGTCGATCAGCGAAATAAGTGGCTACTGTATGCCAGAATGAGGCAAATGCATCAAGAGTACCATTGGTATTTGTGTACCTATATTTAACAGATAGATAGGGAAAATTAATTGAATAGAAACATGATCCACTTACAGCATTTTGAATCCATTAATAACTCCTTCAGTAAAATAGTACTGACTAAAAGGATTTTGTAAACATTGATCAAGTACTGGATATCCTGTATCTGGTTCTCGTGTAAAATTTATTGGAAATGGAAATGGAAATCGTTGGAGAGTTTCAGTACCTAATTTAGTGGCGACCCAATCAGGAATACCTTCACCACAGAAAAATCGTGATAAAACATCCTGATGACAATCGAGCAAAGCATAGATGCCTTTGTTTTCCATCATCGAAACAGCAGTCGATAGTTGAGATAGATACGTATCATCGACTTCATTTGGTGATTTCGGATTGACGCCCATCCAGGCAGTGTATAGACGAATGACATTGAAACCCCATTTGTGAAGATTGTCCAGATCAAATTCAGTCAGTGAATTTTGTGGATCAAAATTAGTCATATTAGGCAAGAAGGGTGGTTGCTTGTAAACAACATTAACGCCATGAAATATACGTACACGACCGAATTCATCGATAAAATGTTGTGTATCTGGATCGACTTGAATGCTCGGCAATGAAGAGCTACAGTATACGATCGAGACAATGAGAAGCAGTGAAATATTGAAAAGAAGAAAAGTCAAGCTTGTTTCAAACATGTTGAAAAAGAAAAAAAGAGCAAATTATAGAATATAATATATCCATATATGTCCTTCGTCTCTTCTACAGCTGATTCTCGTTCTCATAGCTATACAAAATCAACTGCACGACGATTAAGCGATTCGAATTAATATGTTACACGATTATCTTACGCTTTCTATGATCAATAGAAAAATTTATCCATGATGTACATAAAGGCTCACATCTGCACGTATTAAAAGGTTTAAATCTACTATTACTTCTGTATAGTAAAATACAGTTCTGACGAAAACTATATAAAAATACTTTTTTCTTAATGTTACTATTTTTAATGTAGGTTGATATTTATTTCATTGGGTCGCTACACAGATCGATGGTGAATCATGTTTCGAGAATTTCGTATAATAGATTTTGAAAAATAATTTATGTAAGAATTTAGCAGTATATTTTATTACTTTTCAAGCCATAATAGTTGGAAAATGTCATTAAGCCTCAACATTTGCAGAGCATTCAATAGTATTGAATCAATACTGTTGACTTGTTATGTGGTCTTCTATGCAAGTATATGGCAGATAATCACAGAAGCTTGATATTATTGAACAAAAGTTTTCTTTAAATTGTATCATCTGCTGAAATGGAGACCAACAATTGTCGGTTACTTTCTGGAAGATAGCATCAATTGATAAAAGTGATACGAGCCAGATAAAGAGATCCAAGAAATTAATGTTCAGCTTGGTAGCAGCTTATTGTCGTTATCTTGGTGCGATAAAAATGTGAACCCTGCCCTAGACAAACATCTTGCAAGCAAGATCTTGGCCAAGATACAAGATACAGATATGTTAGCAGATCTTGGAAATTTAGGTACAAGATAATACAGTTATCTTGTACTCAAGATCTGATTACAGATCTTAAGTAATAATTCATAATATCTTGGCTGCACACTAAGATAAAGCTTGCTCTATGTGTTGTGATTTGCGACATCTTTTTTAGGCATTCTGAAAGCATGGTTCGAATCTATCATACAGCGAAGTATTTACCTTTTTTCTTTAAAAGTATGTTTTGATATTTTTCAATTCATTTTCATTTTAATTAGTCCTCTCCCGAATAACTCAAGCAAGTCAGATATTGGGATCTGACTGGCATTAAGTTGGTCCGGTATCCATCAGACCAATTTAGGGTAGTCCTCTCTCGATCATGGATTGAGATTAGCATTCTCTCGAGTAATCGAGAAATAATTTAGAAAAAATTTATTTTGAAAATTTATATTTCGTGTGTTCCATCGTGTTGCTTAAATACGGCTGTGCATGCATAAAAAACGATGAATGACTAGAGAGCATATGTAAATACACTAATGATGTCGCTTTCTGTTTCGCTCAAGATCTTATCAAAAGATAATAGTAACCGATATCTTTTCCATGATCTTGCCAAGATCTTAGGTACAGATTTATCTGATACAGTCAAGATATGTACATACCAATTATCTTTCCAAGATCTGGATAAGATCTTACTTAGCGAGTCCAAGATTTCCAGATCTTGCTTACAAGATGTTCGACTAGGGCGGCAGATATGCTCCACTGTTTGGAAAAGAATGACAATTAATTAGCATAAAAGATCAGCAGAATATCGAATATCTCATGTTCTGCCTCATACGACGACACGAAAAGATAAATTTTTCCAGAGCAAGCCCTTTATAGACTGTTTAGGCGACACCACTTGGCCCACTATACTGTTGACAGAAAAAAATGGAAGACACTATTTTTATTGAGTTGACTTCATACTGAAGCTGTAGCTTACGATCCTTTCTTTCACCGATCGGCCGTCGCTAATGGTTCAGATCTCAAATAGCTCTGTTAGAGATGAAAATCATAGGAAGCATCCACTTTCTTGTCCTCTGTCGCAAAAACATGTGATGAAACCAGATGCAGTGTGCCAAAAATCATAGTACGACAAAAGACTAAATATTCAATTTATAACGTGACGGGCAAGATTAATTTCTTTCATCATTCCGTTGATCTGTACTAAGTTCAGACACTCTATCTTTGTGTTCTTGTATTTTAATTAGTTAGATAAAAATATGGAGTTCATACAATTATTTGAATCAAGCGGACCGAGTTACCAAACTCGTAAAACCCCATGACTGGATAAGATTTGATTTTATCTGGATTTACCGAAATTTTCGAGAAAGCATTACCAAGGTTATGTCCATTATGAAAGTAAATCAGCGTTAACCGATTAATTATCACTATACTACTGGTTAAAAGTCTACACTAGTAAGCAAAGCAGCTACACGCGAATAGAGTGACCATTTATTGTAGATGTAGACATAAAGTTTTCACTCGAAAATAAACAGTATTTAACCTACAAAAAAGCGTTTAGTTCATTGAAAAATAATATAATAGCAGTCATATAGCATTGTGTGTATTTTACCACTATATCTGTTGATATACAATAACGCAAATTCTCTTAATTCATTACGTGTAAATGAAAACAAATTCACAACCGTTCATCGGCTTAGACAAATGAACTAAGACGTTCGATTTAGAATTTGGCGATAATATTGATTATTGAGTATGCCAAACTGAGAAACTAATCTTTGATAATTGTTTTGATTCCTCGGTAGCCTCATGGATACTTTCATAAATGACCATGACTTTTTCGATGCCTGATATGAGTGATATACTGCTTTTGATAATTTAATCAAACGAAATCTTATCAAGCAAAGAAGCAAAGCAATTGGAATTATTGAAGAATGTTTAGGATAATCAAGTGGTAATTGCAAAACGATACGATCACTCAAATAGGCGAATCTATTTCTATCCAGAATAAAAATATAACAATCAAACGTTTTGTATTACTTATTAACGAGTGCATTTAGAAAAAAACACAGACGCTATTTAAAATGAGTCAAAGGATAAATTATGTATATAAATGTTGCATTATTTTTCGACGCAATATCATTAATGTTAATGATAGGTGACGTAATATGCCTATCATTTACGATGACGTATGCCTATCATTTACGATGACGTATGCCAATCATGCTTGAATGATTTTAAATCAATCAGGGGGAGAGCGGCAGAAAATTCGGACGTCATTTTTTTTTGTTGAGTCATCATTGAGGCTATAAAAAGAAGTTGCATATTTTTGTATTGTGAACACAGTCAAATTCGAAAGAAGAAAAATCAATACAAATACATATCGTTTACTATACTAAGCAAAGATGAATATCCACAAAATTGCATTGCAAATTCTATTTATGCTGAGTATCTTAGCCACAATTCTGACACCGGCACTCACTGAGAACAGTGGAATCAATAACAATTTTCGAGAGAAACGAAGCATTCTTCAGGTCAATCGACTCAAACGTAGAGTTGTTTCTTTTTCAGATCATCGCTTCTCAAGTCACGATTTCTAGAAACATGCTTCTAAAAAAAAAGAAATAACTGAATTGAGTCATTGCCCATCGTTCATTCGCCAGTTGATCTATCGTTATGTAATCATGTTTTCCAATATAATGCAAAATGACGAAAGAGGGGAACAGAATCTTTTAAAATTTGTCATTAGTCACACCATCTCTGCTTCTGTGATGATTCTGCCAGGTGAACTTTAAAATGAGAAAATAATTTGACCAGAAATATTTAGAGCTGTTCATTTGTGATACAATATCTTCACGTGTGATGATTTGTAGGAATAAATTTAAACATCACAAAATATTCTGCAAGTTTCAAATCAAATTATTCATTCGTCATGTGGACTTCCTTTATACAACGGCTTAGATAAAATACGTATTGATGGCCCAAGGTACTTGCAAAATTGAATCTCAGATAGTTCATTGGATACATGATTTCTTCATCTCATATGATGATTTCAATATATTCACTAAAAATATTGGGATAGTTGAAGATACTAACCTGGTACTATTCCTCGGACATCCGATCTCTCCTCTTAAAACAATTGCGAAGTACACGTTTTCAAGCAAGACAATAGTTGTCACGAATCAACTAAAGCAATTCCTTTGTCATATAATCTCTTCTCGTATTTCACATTTTGTTAGCACATGTTAAATTGAGGAAATAATTGAACGGGCTCGAATATAACTGTTCACGTGTTTTGTTATAACTCTGATGCATCTACATCAGTACATCGGTTTCGAAGTAACGAAATAGTTGAAGAAATGCACCAGTACTATGCTTCACTGTTTATGTGATCACATTTCATGCGATAGTTATAGCAAAATAGATTTCAATGCTGAAGATATAATTAAATAGAATCAACTAGAATTAATCACTTTTTACATGATCATTCATCATAGATCTCTTTCACAACAGCATTTCGAGATGAAAAAAATAGTTGAAGAGAGCAACCATGGTGAATTCATTTGACACATGGCCTTTCCTCTGACAATGATTTACATAAATATAGTTTAAAGTAATAGAATAATAAACTAGATCAACCAACAATTGTTCATCTTATATTTGATCTCTTATGTTGCTGCGCTTTGAAAAAATACATACCTATGTCCAAACATAGCTGAATTGAATCGCATCAAATCATTCATTGATCACATGTGACGTCTCTGTATACAACAAGTCCAATAAATATATTTCGAAGCATAGATATAACTGAACAGAACAGCCTCAAATTATTCATTTATCATATAAATTCTTCTCTTATTACAATTTAAACATCGACACTTCGAAGTGTAGAAATAATTAAGTCGAGTCTCATAGAATCATGCATGAGCCATGTCATCTCTCGTTTTCCATGGATTCAGTCACATACACTCAGATGTGTGAAAATAGACGAAGACTACCTGGTAAATTAATTCATCCTTCATGTCATATGTTATTAGCTAATAATCCGCCAAATCTAGGTCGATGTCCCGAAATTACTGACTAGAACCCCGTACAATAACTCATCTGCCATGTGATTTCTTTTTATCTGAGAGTTTCAAACAAAGTACTGGCATGCGAAATCGTAGTTGAACAGAGCTACTTAAAATGATTCATCGTTCATATAATCTCTGCTTAATCAATGATTACGCAAAATAAACGTCGGTACCACACAAAATAACTGAAGAAAATCTCATAGAATTATTCCTGAACTATATGTAATCATTGCCACCTAGCGACTTTGTCAAATACACATAGAAGTCACGAAATAATTGAAAAAAGTCTCGTATGATAATATAACTGTCATGCAATTTTTCTTTATCCAAAAATTTCAAACTAAGTACTTGCATGTGAAATCATAATTGAGCAGACCTGATTAAAATGATCCATGGGCTATGTGATCTCTTCCTATCCATGGATACCATGAAATACATTGTAAACAATAGATATAGTTGAAGAGTACCCCGTCGATTAATTCATCTGTCATGTGATATGTTTTCATCTAAAAGTCCGGCAAATGCAGTTGTGAATGTCGAGATATTGGAAAAGCTACTATGAACTGTTAATTTCTCATGTGATTTATCCTGTGTAATGAACTCACATACCATTACTTAAGATGATGAAATAGTTAAACTTAACAGGTGTATGAAGAAGTAAGTCACTTTAGTATGAAGTATTCTGAAAGATGTTAATAATTATATTTTTTGTAGAAACAACGGAAATTAATCACATTCACTAAAACGAATATCACTAAAAACTATTTACAATTCGAAAACTTTTATGTTTATATCTATATACTACTAATCGATTTTTCATTTTTTTTCACAAACTAAATACGCTAACATGCAAAAACACAAATGATCAATGAACGAAAAGAAGAATATTTTGAAATACTTGTTTATTAAACTCAGTCAGTTTCACTGAATTATAGCTTTCATCGATCGAAAAATAGAATCGAATGACAAAAAATTTAGATCATTGCATAGAAATATTAAATTTCAAACGAAAAAAACTCTGATATGAAATAATCTTGATGAGTTAACAGTGCTTTTTATTGCTTGATCTAATTTTATTTTCGCAAGTGCAATCAAAAGCTCACTTTTCATAAACATTGGCCCTTTTGTACCATATCAGATACTCTTTACAAATTTTTGACGATGTATAATATCACGGATGTACTTCTCAAATAATCTTTTTTACTTGTAAAAATCATAATATTGATTTATTCAATCAACAGGTGAAAGCAACCTCAATTGCATTCTAAGAAAAAGATTTTTCCATCATCATTTTCTTCATCATGTTCAATATTTATATTCATCGAAAAGTTTTGATAATTAGAATGTAAGTTGATTCTTTTTACTGACCATGTCGCTCTATTATTCTATTGGATCGAATAGCAAGATGAAAAATTTCTTTAAGAAACATAATCACAGTGGTATTAAAAGTATAGATCACTAAGAGGCAATGATTGAATTGAAACACCAGGTAAAATCTTGTTCCATCAAATCGAACTACTCTTGCAAGAAGTGTTTGTCATTTTAGGACGGAATCAAAACTGATTCAATAACAGTAAAATTGGAAAACGGATACTCTCGTCTACCTGATGATCGCTAAAAATCAAACCATAAGAGGGATGTCATAATATCCACAACTTGGGTATCGAGATGAATACCCAGATAGAATACCCATTTGGATGGATATCTATGTATCCTCAGTAGTGTACTGCAGCCGGGCCGGGTAACCGGCACCCGACCCGGTGCCTGGGTCAGGGTGAAAAGCTCCGGGTCGGGCCGGGTGCCGGGTCTGAAAAAAAAAGTCGGGTCGGGCTGAGAAATTTTCAAAAAACCGACACCCGACCGGTCAACTAGTGACATCAAGAAGAAACATGAAATTTTCAGATATCATTGTCGATTTCAGTCACAGGGATGTGAATCTAATTGGGTTATTATTCACTAATATATTCAACAGTTACGATGAGTCACCTAATCTAACCCACAAACATCATGGCTCTACTTATATGTTAAAGAAACTTCGCTGAGTGTGCTATATAGCTGCTTTATATAACTGATCTATTACCGCCTCACATTTACATGAAGCATCGTAAGCATCCATTCTCACATACTTCTACGTACTCATTAATTCTTACTTTTTGTCCTAGCTCAGCTCTTCATCATCTTTTCTATCACAAAAATGTAGTTTTTAATGTTATCTATTATTGATTGTAAGTATTAATTTCTCTATAATTTCTCATTTAAATTCACTTCTATTTTATCTTCTAGATCTTAGTGGAACAACAAAAACATAGTTTTTGATGTTATGTATTATTTATTAATTTTATTGATCTTTTATTATCGATTATTTATCTCATTGAGATCATCTCACTAATAAACTATTAGAAAAATTTTGACCATAATCCGGTCGGGTACCGGTTATAGCTGTCCGAGTCCGGTTCGGGTCCGGGCGTAAGGCCGCCTGGTCCGGTCGGTTCCGGGTGTGGGAGAAATCAGTCGGGTCGGCTCCTGGTATGAAAAGTTGCACCCGTGCAGTAGACTAATCCTCAGAGCTGAGCAATTTGAGTGCATTTGGTGTAACGGGATGGGTATCAGAAATGGATACTCTATTGTAGGAATACTGTCTTTATAATTATAAATAAGGAAACGTGATGCTATGTTTAAATTTATTGTATTCATGTAGTCAGCTTTATTCCAATGTTTATCGATATGTATAGATTTGTTTATTGAGTATTGTAGATAGCGTGCAATTGCAGTTAAATGTTCGTTGAACAACTTGATTTTCGCCTGATAACAATTTATTACGACTTTCATCACAATGACTCAATGAAGTCGTGTTGAAACTGAAGCATGCTGTGTAGTTGGTGTTGTTGTGGATTGTCACATGTATGTTATATGAATTGTGGCTTATATTAATTTGTTTGCAGTAGGACCTGTGAGTAGGAAAATTCGTGATTCGTTCTCGAAAACATTTTTGAAAATGGCAGTAGCATCTTGCTTTGATTTTTGAACTTAACTTATTGAATTCGGCGGGAGCGGTAAAACGGATGTGAAGATAAGTGCACCTGTGCGGAAACACTATCAATGAAAGACATCTATGACTATTCGTATACAAATCCCCTACCGAGTGGTGTAGCAATCCAGGGCTGATGACGAAAAAAATATTGATCAATATAAGCCATCAAACGAATATCCGAAAAGATTTCTCAAAACACAACATATTCCCATAATATAGCATCGAGCATGAAATTATGAAGAATCTATCGTAATCGTTAAGTCGATGATCGTTCGATTGCAAGACATAAACTTCAAACGCCCATAATCACTTATTTTATCACAACTATTTCACCGTTAGAAAAATTTAGTTGAAAATCTAACTTGATACATCAATGTGTTTGATTGTTAAAAGTTTTTCCGATTATATTCTTCTGCTCAGAGTTTACATTATATTGCATTCGTAAAGCAATTTGATCTTCGATGCATTTCGTATAACTAATCATATCAATACAAAAATTTCAAAAAAATTCAAATGAATTAGCCAAGTTTACATTCCACTTCAAAAAACCATTCAATACCAACTCGGGACAAATTCTCCTCAATTTCTCAATATTAAAATAAAACTAAATGCACTCAAATTGCTCAGCTCTGAGGAACATGGGTATCCATTTTAGATATCCACTTGAATGGATATCGTGACTGGTATGTCGACGATACCCAGTGTTTGGATATTATGACATCTCTGAACCATAATGATTCATGCACGAAACTATTATTGCATATCAATACCATCGAGTAAGTTAAACATATAGCAATATTCTTCTATCAATACATTCAATTTTATTCCAACATCTTATGAATTAGCTAATGTTTGTGAACAACTAATTACTGACTGTAATTTGTTTACTCATAATGCTCAATCGCTTGATACGTGTGAAGAATGTAAAAAAAGTAATAATCGTGACAAGTGTTTGAAAAACAAGTTTGTCTACAAGTTTTCTTAGGAGTATTGCGTACCATTAACGCAAAATGATTTATCTATTCATGATACCTTATGGCAAAATAATGAAGTCCATGGTAACACATGATTCGTATAAGAATCAGAAGGAAACTCATTATCAGGTCGCTGTATAATAAACTTTTCTTCGATAGTTTTTCGTTTTTTTTTACATTCAGACTGAATAATTAGATACAGTGATGAGAAATGATGATGACACTACTAAAAACTTTGATCTCGACGACATTATATTATTATTATTATTATTATTATACTCTTAGTTACTTCACAGATACTCCCTAATGTCTCCATACTGCATGATCACAATTACTATGTTAAGTAATTTTAATATTATGTTTCAATATCCAAATCAAACGTTAGAGCTGCAGATCTAACTTTTTGACAATTTATAGAGGACACTAAAGATACGTGTTCACACCAAAGCTTCAAGAAATTTCTATTCAAAGTAATTTATTAGAGAACAAAGAAAAAATTAACTATTGTTTTGAGTCTTTTCAATGAAAAATCGTTTAACTCGATGATTACCCCAATCGACTACATAGAGGTTGCCATCTCGATCGAAGGACAAATCCACGGGGAATTCGAATTGATTTTCTCCTTCATTTGAATCAATTTTCCCTGCAATAACAGTACCCTGTTTTGCACCTTTAGGCCAACGCACTATTCGATGATTCCAAGTATCTGCCACATAGATGGTGCCCAATCGATCGACAACTAGTCCAATGGGACTAAATAATTGTGTCAAAGCATCTCCTTCTGCTTGACCTCCAGCGACGACAATTCCTGCTTTGGCGCCTTTGTTCCATTTCACTACACGATGATTTCTATTATCTGATATGTAGACAGTCTGTTTTTGGTCGACGAAGATTTTTATTGGTTCTTCGAGTTGATTGAGATCAGCACCTGGGCCATTGCCACCAGCCACTACAGTTCCATTTTTCTCTCCTATCTTATATCGTCTTACTTCATTTTGTCCAATATCAGTAACATAGAGATATCGCTGATCATCCATAGCTAATCCGTAACAAAATATTTTGTCAAGAAGGACTTTTCCTTTACTTGTACCACTACGAAGAGACCACTGTACAACACGCTGATTGCCACGATCGCATATAATGAGATTTTTCGTCTCTTTGTCAACTAACATGTCAGTTGGGGAGTTCAATTGATTCAATCGATTTCCTTCACCATGACCACCAGCAAGTATAGTTCCATCTGTATCACCCTTCTTCCATTGAATAATACGATGATTCCAATTATCAGCGATGATCATCGTTTCATCGTCATCAACGAACAGACCTAATGGCTCTGAGAATTGGTTGGTGTTAAAGCCTTCGCCATGATTTCCAGCAATGATCACCCCATTCTGCATCCATCGTGCCCCAGCTGGAATGTTGGGTATCCCTAAAATGTATTGTTGTTAGTGCATGTATAAATATGATAATAACAATAATAATTCTTACAGATTGATCCTCCATACATGAAACAGATATCAAGAGAACCATGCACTGGGTGCATGAAAACAAATAAACTGCTCCCTTTTTAAAATATGTAGTTACATTTCGCTCAGTAGTATGATATATATTGACTCTTTCTATTAATTTTCAAAATCATCTAGAAACACCTACAGAACTAATATTTTTCTTTAAGCCCAATTTCTAAATTCGTATACATTCCTCTTTTATGATCATCTTAACATGTATACTATTAAAATAAGCAAAAGTAGTAAATCAGTTAGGCACGAGCCTTTTTGATTCAGATCCAGAAAAAGTCGCATCTCCTTAATATATGAAACTGCTCTACTTGGATCGTTGCCAGAGGTTTCAAGAACTATTCATTTATATTTTGTTACTGAACGCAAGTTGTGACTCAATTTGTATCTATATTCCTATGTAATCGTATCGAACATGTTACCGTCTTGCAAAGCTTGTTAATTAGCATCGATGCAATAACCAAAACGAAATAAAAGGCTTCACAAAAGTTAAGCGAAAAATTGTACTATCTTAGGATAATATGTATGACAGTACTTTGTAGTCTATAACTAGCTCATTGTCTGTCTTACTTGTTGAATATTGTATGACTGGGCGTATTCCTTTTGTGGCCATCAACGATGAATAACAGACAGGGACATAACGGCAATATGGATGATTTACACAACCAGTAGAAGATTGATAACATGCATCGTTCTCGGTTGCACACGATGCTAATTGTGAACAAGAGTTAATAAGCAATACGTAAATACCAGAACTGAAAGAGAATATAAAGTGAGAAAAACGGCAAACTTGAAGTGTTAAGCAGAAAATATATTGAAATTGTAGAGAACCTAAAATCGGAATAATATATCACACATAGAATGAATCACTGCGGTGTATAGTTATACAAAATAATGCTCGCGATTGACTGGGCACTGAATTTCAGATCAAATTAATTAGTTCTTTGAAATATCTACACGCTTATAAAATAATATCAGATATGCTAAAAATAGAATAGCATGAATACACAATAAAGATCCACTGGTTACCTAATGACAAGAAATATAAATCGGTGTATAGCCATCGTTTTTAGTTTGATAACAAGTTTTGCAAGCAAACAATAACTAACAATATTCAATTCAACACATATGCTCTCTTTCTCACTCAACTTGTAAGATATTCCGTTGCCAGCGTATTAGCAGCAGCAGCTGCACTCAAGGTTTCGTATCATTAAAAACAGCGGTGTGCATAGTTATAAGATAATATTAGCTTTCTTTGCACTTGCCCATCATTGAAAGTTAATTGTTTCATCGGTTATAAAAGAGCATCATGTTAAGAGAAATTGGTCAAAGAGTTAATCATTAGGGATTTTGGAACTTCGCCAATATACCGCAAAACTTTCGCCATTGGCGAGTGTCGTTTTGGCGAAATGTCTTATTGACGAGTTCCGGTAACCCGGGTGTAACACTTATCCACAGTGACACTCTACTTGTAAAAGGAAAGCACAGTACATGAACTATCGAAGTTATCAAGGATATTCATGCAAGATAACAGAAAATATTATGTTGTTTTATTTCATCATCGTGATACGACGAAAAAAGGCAACCTTTGAGATAACGTCTTTTTTTTTATAATAAACAAAGAAAAGCACAGAATCGCTGTCTTTATGCTTACAATTCTTTACCAAACAAAACAAAAAAGAGCGTTTTGTCGATTTCTGTTGCATGATTACTTTTTACTTGTAAGAGCTACATCTAAGTAGAAAAAATGTCAAGAAAAACGAAAAGAGACCACTCTAACGTAACGTATTAACTAACAAGATCTAATATATCTTATATTATATAAGAGACTTGCTTAGAAATAGTCTATGTCTTCTGTGATCAACGGCACCAACTTTGTGATAGAAGGATACTTAAACAGTCCGATTGAAAGAGTGGTACATCGATTAGGTTGAATGATACGAGTTCAGTTTACTATAAATAGATTCCATACAAATTTATTTTCACAAGGTTTTCTACTCTTTTTCTAGATGACTCAGAGTGAACATTATACAAACTAGTAGAAGTCTCAACATTTCCATAATAATTGGTGCGCTACAATCAGGTCTTCATTACAAATAAGTCAAAGAAATAAGAACTCCACTCAATTTGGAAATGTATAATTATATATCCTATCGAATAAAAATTGCCGAAATAACAGCTAATATGCAGGAGTATCGCTATGTTTATTATGATTGTGATTATAATTGGTTTTCTATCACTGCATGATACAGATTAATGTGTTACATTAATGACTACAAAGCTGGAAAAATAAAACTAATTTTTTTCTTTTCTTCTGTTTTAGAAATATGAAATTCATCATGTTACGAACATTGCTTCTATTATTGTCAACAACAATTATATCCGTTTCAATGTTAGTCTGCTATGATTGTCCACTTAGACATTATGGTTTTCTGCTAACACCGGATAATATTCCCATATTTACTGATTGTACAACAACTATTACAACGGGCAATTTTTGCTCATTAAATATTTATTCAGATGACAATGGAAAAACAAGTAAGCTAAGAGCTAATCCAAACATGGGTACCGAACGTGCAAATGTTTCTTATATTTTAACGGGATTTGATGTCCCAAAGAGCTTTGATGAAATTGTGGGATTCGGCATTTTGTATCAGTGTATGAATGATAATTGCAATAATCCACAAATGATATTAAAACGAATACTTCAAGCATCAAAAATTGAAACATACAAACCACCTCAGTTACAATGGGCAGTTGATCAATCCTCACCTAGTCCAACTCTTTTGTGTTCAACATTTTCAAACTTTACAAGCATCGATGAATGTCGTCCACCATTTCATGTTCGTGAATCATCAAATTCTGTTGATATTTGTTCAACATATTGTGTTACAGCAATCAGAATCGATCCAGTAGACTTAAAAACTGAAAGTGTATGTTCGTATTGCGAGCAAGAAACGACAGAACGATTTCTCTACATTGATGAAAGAATACATTTATTAGACAAACGTATTAGTTATTTACAACAATTAGATTATCTCTGTAATACAAGTAACTATTGTAATTCATTGGACAATATACGACAAATACAACAAAGATACAAAATAGAATTTGATTTTGATATATTTTTTGGTTCTGATAGTACAACGATGATGACCCAAACTACCAGTGACATGACAATGATTACGAAAGTCACAACTGGCACACCAATGATCACCACAACCCGAAACAGTATGACGATGATGACCATGAATGTTAACTTACAATTAATAACCTATTCATTTTTAATTCTCTCAGTTTTTCTTGAATAATAAAAGCACTAACAGTCAGGAAGATGTGCTCACTATATTGAGGATGTAGGCGTGTATAGAACACTCAATGCGTGAACGAGAAGGAATATTTCGATTTAAAATGCGTTCTTAATTGATATTATTGATAGTGGCATAAATTTTTAGGGCGTCTAATAATGCAATATTGGTTACATTGTATAAAGAAAAGTAGAATAATACATCCTTAAAAGATTTAGAAAAGGGCTTCGGAAATTTTACTCTGTCATGCTAGGACATCTATATACTGTTGAGATGGTGTCCTTTCCTCGTTTTCTCCTCTTTGGAATATAGTTATTGGTGTTCTTGTTTTTCTTTTGAACAGTTAATTAATAAAAGAGGTTATCTTCTACTTGATATGAAATATCGCGCCTTTTTGATTAAGTATATTAACAGTAGATCTTAACATGCTCTGAGCCAAAATTTTTATCGCCGCTTTGAAAAGTGATTGAGACAAATCTATGCGAAAAAAAATAAAACCATTTACTTTTATCCATACTCGAAGAGCTACTGCAGTAGCTCTTCGAGTAAGCTTAAATAATGAAAATAAATAAATTCATTTACTCTTAAAAATGCACAATATTGTATAATTTTTTCGGCCAACTCGATATGAAAAAATAATAATTTACCTATCCTTGAATCTAAGTATAATTATCGCTTTTTATTTAGCCATAAACTATTATTGTCTTCAAATACCCTTACGATCATAAACCCTTCGGCTCATGTACCCTTCAAAGGGTATATGTCATTCGTAAAAACCTTTCAAGGCTTTATAGAAAAAATCTACAGCAAGCACTGATTATTCTGCGCTTTTTCTACAGTGTAGATTTCCAGACTGGTCGTGGAAAACTAAGTACGTTCTTGGACTGATCACGAATACCTTTTGAAAGGTTCTTGGAAGGAAAAAAGGGTTTCATAACGCCTGGAAACCTATTCTCCTGGGTTTCCAACAGAAAAGATTTTATTTAGAGTGTAGGAATTAATTTTAAATAAAGTCCAAGAAGATTGTTAGTGTAGTCCCTTTAGAGCTAAAATGTGGAGCTCATCCATGATTTTTCGCATAATTCTACTAATACGCAACCCGTAAAGCGTGAATCGTACTGCAAGACAATTGATCGATAAAAAATATCTCATATAGGTTTCGCACGTTTCCTAATGGTGATAATGCAGGGTAATCGTATGTAATGGGAAGCGGAAGGAGGCGTCGCAAAAATCTAGCTTTCACATTTACGCTCACCATTTTCTTCGAAATATATGTGTTCCACAAAATTGTAAAGAATTAGGCTACGAATAAAATTAGCATGAACCAAAAGAATTGTTGAACATGCTAGTTACTACACTCTAAAAAAAATTCGTTTTCTGGGAATCCTATAGAAGGTTTCTGGGTTTATCACTATAAAGCTATCAAAATAGATGCGAACACAAAAACCCACTCACAGTTTCCGAAACTCCCAGAACATTTTATACGTTTCCCACCATTGCAAATCAGCAACCAATTTACCAGAGTATCCGCAATTGCAAATTTCATTTATTGCCATACCAAGCGGACTTTAAAATAAGCCACTTTAAGGCTCTCAAAATTTTTTTCGCCCAAGCATACACTTTCATGCCAGTCTGAGCCCTATAGTAACACAATCCCAAAATCTATCTCAGTCAGAGTACTCGCTAAAATCAGAGTCGTGAAGTCCCAAACATCAAAGTTTCGCAATCAATTTGAGTCTGGTATGGTACAACACTTACCTCTCAGATCAAATATATACAAAAAAAGAAAGGGTTTAAATGTTTTTCAACGAAGCTTAAAATGTACCGATTGATGTTCTTTTGGAATAGCCATGAAACGTTCAATATTTTTAATTGAAAAATGTATCCTTTATAGCAACTAGTACGAGACATTATTTTGAAAAAAATGAAAATATCTGGCCTATTCTTTTAACCATCAAACAACTAACAGGTATTGCAGCAATCATTGAAAGTGTTTTCCAGCTGAATATTCAGACAATAACTGTTCTTTATTATGGATTACAATCTGAAAAATATCGAAATGTCTATGCCTAGACGTGTCGTTCCCATTAGGGGTGAGAAGCTATTGTTATCTTGTTGTTATTAATAACAATAACTTTTTTCGATAGATATTTGTTATAAATAACAGATAAGGAACAAATAACTTTTTTTTTGACATCTCAGTTCATTGTTTATATTGGTTATACTATGCGAATTAGCACTATTGAAGTTAAAAATTCGTTGTGTAGTATAAGCTTATATAATGGATACAATTAAAATATTCAGCGACCTGAGACAGAATCCTTGTTAGAAAAAGAAGTTATTTGTTATTTATAACAATAACAAATAACAAAAATAGTTCTTGCTATTGATAACAATAACAATAAATTCACACCCCTATTCTAAAACACACTCACAACCTATCTGCGTGGAGGTGCTCTGAGATTTTCACAATTTACAACGTACAAAATCATCAATATTTTATGTTCATATTTCAGTATACAACAAAATCGAAGAAACACAATGATTTATTATATGTAACAATTTATTGTTTCATAGTAATCTGAGCATTGTCAAAAACAACACCAAGTAAGTTTGAAGATTCTTCATTTACTGTTGCATGGTCATATTCATTCTGAACTCCGCAGGTTTGACCGTCAACGAAAATGCTTGAATTTGTCGTTGTCGTCGACGACGACGAAGCATTTTTGCTTGGAATTTGCTGTATACGCTACTTATCGATGCAAGACAGATGAAAGGGAAAAAGAAAATGACGAAATAGCAAAGAAAAAAGAAATAATGTTCGGCATTGACTCCAACATCTTGTGGCAAACCAACTAAATGTGCCATGCCAATAATACCAAGTGGAAAGTTCGAAATCAAGTTAAGAAATGAGAGGGACATGAGCTGAATTGCCATCTTTCTCTGCTTGCGCCACTGTATTGGTAACTGAGCATGGTATTTATGCCAGATGACTCGAAAAACAAAAGCGACGCTGAAAACTGGTTCGAGGAATGATGGCAGAGTAGTATTGACAATCCAATCCCATTCGCCCATAAATGGGTCATTTTGAAAGCATGGAGATGTACTGCAGTATGGTAGTGTATAATCGTATGCATTTTCGCAAGGAAAATAATAAATATTATAAATATAGAAAATGAAAATATACAAAAGTATAAAAAGTAATGGTATGTAATGTACGAAAATGCGTCGTTTTCTTGTTAAAAGCCATTGATCATGAAATATGATAATATGTCGCTCCAGAGCGACCCATACCATAAGTATGATTCCTCCATTGTACATACCAATATCGACAGACCACCATAAAAGACAGGTCCAATGCTGCGCTGGAACAACACCCGAATGTATGATAAAATTAAGATAGAAAGGAACATCAATTAATTGAGCAGCCAGTCCAAAAATTAGTAAAATTATTAGGATATGGTTCTTTACGGCAGAGCGTAATTTTTGATCAAATAGAATACAGAAGAGAACGAAAAATGCACAGATGGTGGATGGGATATCGAATAGAAGAAGAATCCAAAAGCGAGCAGCACGTGGCAGAGAAATTTCGGCGCTACCGAATGAAACGCTTCCCGTGTCGTTCGAACTTTGGTTGTCAGCCATTACTAAAAATTTCAAAATAATGAGAGCGTGATTTGACACAATAAAATTAATTCGAATGCTCATCGAGAACCTTCCTGACTTCAAAATCGTCTGATCGCACGATTCTTTAAGGAATGATGATCGATTCGTGGCATTATCACAACGCACTCTACAGTTTTTAGGTAGTCAACTTTGATTTCAAAAGTAACAATTTAGTTTTTCCTTATTGTTTTATGCAATTTCTATCATTCCTGAGCCGAAGCAACTTATAAGGTAAATTTTACTGTTAAGTGGAACCTGTGTTGCAAAAAGGACAATTCTTTTCGCAGAGCTGTGTAAAATATTGTTTGGATGAAACTTAGGATTAAGTCGGTAATGAAGTATCTATTAGCATCCCTGTCTTGTCTTAGAACAAAGGCATGCGAATAGTAGCAAAACAACGATCATCACTGTAGATTATAATCCTGATGTCTGAAAAGGCCATTTGGTACCATACTCTAAACGCGCTTATTGTTTTAATCGCCAAAATTTGCGCTCATGGGTCGCAATCTAAGATAGTTAGAATATGAATTTCATGCAGGTGATGATTTACCGTTAAGTTAGTAGTTTGTCTATAGTCATAATGCTTTGCTTTGATTTTTTCATGAAAGTCAATTTATCATTGGACAATAAGGTTTTTTCTATACGGTTTGACATAAGTTGAAATGACTTCATAGTGAGAAATGAAGTACAGAGTTTCGAGAAACTGATTACAAAATTCGAATTTCTCAGTCACGGAATCGTTCAATGAACTATATGAAAACAAATTCTTTTTCTGTTAATAACCTTATTTTGACGAAAGAATCGAACTCGAGAATTTTTCGTTTCTTACTAGCTGACAAATTAATTGTTTATGCATAGGTTAATTCACACGTTTCATCGATTCCAAGTACAACCAAATCAAATTTGGATGTATCGTATCTTAGTTTTTAGCCTTCGTAGTACTTCTTTTAACGGCGTCATGGTGACACTGGTGGGCAATACTCCACCGGATGGTAGATCATTATCACCGTTGCATCATTGAGCCTGACTATCTTAACAAGATTTCTTCCAGTAGAGAACAACTGGCTTAAATCGTGACTCATACCTCGTGCAGTAGGAAATTAAACTATTGAGTGCCACTATCTTGAAAAGAGAACATTTTTTTAAGTATCTTAATTTTTGAATGCTTAAAAAAAGGAAATAGATATGAATCAACAAGTTTAATAAAGTCAATCAGATAGTAAATGTGATAAGCTTATTGATGATTGACTAAGCATTATCTGAGAAGTTATATTAATAACTAAAACATTTCTATAATTGAATGATATTTATCTCAAACAAATAATATGTGATTGTAGTACAATCATTATAAATACGCATTCATACTACTGGAATATATCTTATACTGAGAGTAAAAACTGCGAAAAATACTGCAGAAATTCACAAAGAATATTGAGGGCGTCAACAAAAAAATGATTCATGCGATCAGAAATTTAGCATGCGATGGCTTCGAATTGTCTATAACTTTTTAAGTGCTAAACTCTCGAATGCGTACATCAATATCGAAAGTGGGAGTGATTTGAATTCGGCATCTATAATTTTTTTCATCGATTATCAAAGCGTTGGCTCAATGCAAAAAAAGCTAAAAACTGAATAGCACCCTCAATAAAGACTAACTGAAAAAGAAATAGATCATCAGAAAAGAAGTTACATATATATGATATAGCACATATGTTAAGGAACCTTTTTCAAAGTATTAATAAGAAAGATCACGTATTGTTTATAGAGGGCACGAAAATAAACATAATATTGCTTATGAACGTCCTTATTGTAAAATAGTTGTCTCTATTAACTGTAGAAGAAATAGGTTTTTACAATTAATTACCAAAAGATTGGCCGTGATGAGTGCAACTAAATTAAATGTTTGAAAAACGGCGCCTCGTCTTTCTAAACCAGAAAATACCATATGAAATTTTTATACATGTTATATAACTTTTGAATCTCTATGAAATACTTAAAAATATGGTGCAAAAAAACAGTATCGCCTCGAGATTAAAGGGGCTCCCATCTTACCTAGTGTTTTTGTGATGATCTCTCCATATAAAAAAAGAACGGTTTGAGTTTTTTACTGCCTGGTATGATAAGCAAACAAATCAAGTGCGATATTCTTAATTAGCATGAAAGACTGATACAGTGACTCAACAGCGAAAAGACAATCAGAAATAGTCCTTAGGCTCCGCACGCTATCTTTTTATAAAAAATGAAATCTGTCTCAATCAAAGTAGTTTTTTTTCTGGATCATAATATCGTAGTTGATATGTTTTACGATCGTGTCAAGGTAGTAACAATCACAAACTGTGCTTTTTTACCTAGACGGATCATGACAAAAGAGTGGTGCGCAAGTAAGGGCACAGCTTGTACTCGCATATATAACTCCCTCTCCCCCCCTCCAAAGCTTAGAATTCTAGGTTTTTGGGGGAAGAGGGGCAGCACAAGCGAATACATGCGGATACAAGTGTATCCCCTGGGTCACTAGCAGAGCTATCAGTCTCTATGTAAATTGGCGAGTACAAATCGTATCTGTACTTGAGCAGCTATGGACAAAAATCACTAGAGAAGAAGAGAGTCATTTTCATCTCAAAGATATATTGTTTTTTCAATATATTGTAAACCATTTTATAGAGATTTGAAATGGCATTGCCCCGTTTAGAAAAATGAAAAGGGGTATACCTTCAACTTCAAACGTGTACCTTTATGAAATCATAGATTATCGCTTACTCCACTGATGTTAGACTAAATAATCCCAGTAGGAAGATAATACACCGTGTTGTAAATATTTAATTTAGTTGAACCCTTCATAGTCAATCTTTTAATAAATTGCATGAAAAAATTTTGTATACTGCATTGAAGTATAATCATATCTAAGCAGCTCCTCAACGGATACTTCAAAGTGTCGATTTCAATTGCCGAGAGATCGATAGCATCGGAAATCATCACGTATGGGTGGCCCCTCGACTTCTCGGAAAATAGTAATACGAAAACTCTCGATGTATTCCATGTTTACGAATTTCAATTTTGCAGAATTCACCAGAAGTTGAGAGTATATATTGAAGAGCATAATGATGAGTGCAATTATATAATAGCGTAACGTATTTCATACATTATTATGCATTGATTGATTCATCCAATACAATAATTTAATAGTAGCTATGCATTATAATGCTTGAAATAGATTGTATTATCATGTAATTGTGTTCATCACGTTTTCATTTACAGTCATGATATGGGAGCGATCGTCATTTCAAGCAAGCGGCTATCTGTTATCGGGTTCATTTTTGAGGTAGATATCTTAAATGATTGAAGTCCTCTAACCGATACTACTGTTTTTCAATATAATAGATTATTATAGTAACAGCCCCTATGGTTTTTATTGCGCCAATCCACAGAAAATATGAATAGCTATAGAAATAAACAATGTACGTAATCAAATGGCACTTTTAGAATGGAACGCTAATTGTGTTAGTTGGACGCATAGAGTCGAACACGTCATGCGTTCAGTGTGAAGACATTACCTAAGATAAATGTCTTCGCACTGCTAACTGGTTTACGTAACACGAAGAGATAGGATTTTTGTTTATTGAAAGACATTTCTGAATAGATCATGAAACATTTGAATTTGCCTGCATCATTTTCACAGGGTGACAACGTACATTGGCAAAGCAACATAACTGGAGAAAAAGATGCCTTCGGCAATTCACTGAGGTTTTCACTCGTATACTATTTTTACTGAGATATTTGGTCACGCGGAGTCTAAACTTTTAGATTATCATCCAATATATACTTCGATGTGTACGTTACTGAAATAATGAGACAAACAAATAGGATGTTTGAGGTAGTACAGCTGTCAACAGCTCTCAAGTTGAGCATTACTGGCAGCGTAAACGATCGTATTCCAGTCGTGCGTGGTAGTATACTACAGCTTTGGTTTGTTTTTCAAGCAATGAATAGCCTGAAGTTCACAATTATTATTATATGCTTCCGAAAGCATAATTTATTAAAGTAAAATGATCTGAACACACATTATCAAAAACCTTCATATGATAGTTCTCATCAAAACATGAAGATACATAGAAAAAGAAAAATTTTCAATAGTTTAAGAACGTCAGAAGTTCAAAAATATAAAAACAGAAAAAGTCACAAAATATAACATGATCTATGCAAACAAATTTACGCGAAAAATCAACATATTCTTCATTATAATCGATTTGTTTTTACTTTAATCGCATAAAATCAATTAAAGCGACTATAACCGATTGTCTGTGATTTTTATTAGTCAATTAAAATCGATTTTTTTAGTAATAATCGATTTTCACCAGTATTTCATTGTTTTTTTTCTCGCTTAAAATCCACAAAAATTGATTCGTTTCTCGAATCGATTATAATCATTGAGATTTCGATTCGTTTAAAATAAACTCCTACTACTAATAATATATTAGATCAATTTTGATTTTGAATTCATTACAGCGAACTGAGTTTTATGCAGTTTAGCATAGCTAAATTGAAAACCCAATTAGGAATTATTCAATTTTTTCAATAGAATAGTTTACGAAAACCAAGTAAAACTGATCCTAGGCTGAAACAACATGTTTTGAGAAGTTCCACGATCAGAAGTCACTTCTTTATTGATTTTTCGTAGTTACCAAGAAAACTTTTGAAAAAAAACCATATGTAATGATTTTTTATGATTATGTTGCGTTATAAAAGTTATAGTTAAAGCCATCATAGTAATTTAAAGATTGATTGTTCATTTCAACAGTGTAAAATAAATCACTGTTTAAATCTTAAACACATGATATCTGGAAAATTTAGAAAGATAGATTATTACTTCAGTACTTGGTAATGAACAGCACGCAAGGCAATCCTACGTAACTATCACCTTTGCTATTCAAAAAATGATACAGCAACCTATTTAGACTCGATATATGTAAGAACAAGACAAAATCTTAGATACTGAGCTCGATTTCTTTACGCACATGAAAAACGCGATTTCAACATATATGACCAGGTTTGAATTTAGAACAACGATTCAATTATCTCGAAAATCGCATCGAAAATCTGTTATAATACAAGATAGCCAGAAATATTAAACCCCTTTCAAAGAAAAACCTGTAATACTCTTTACAGTGCTTCCCATAAAAAAAATATTGTGCAAAACCTCCACATTCCTGGGTTATAATACGAGTTTCCTTGTAATATAAAGCTGAGTTTTGTTTTTTCGCTATTTCTTCCTTTCGCTTCAAAACGAATATTAAGGATAAATTTTGTTTTCAAACCAAATCATTTTTTGTTTTGCTCCATTGATTCAACTGGAATATGTTCAGATGCTTTCTTGTTTTGATAGCGATTGTTTTCATTGATGTCTTCCTTTTTCTCGGAGAGAAGTATCGCCAGTTCCTTTAGCAGAAAATAAGGAAGTAGAAGTATATTTTGTTGTGAAAGTAAAAATTCTGAATAATGTAATTTAAAGAATACTAATGAATTCTTGAGAAAGTACTTTCAGGAAAGTAAAAATAAGTCTAATCTTGCTAATTGTAAATCAGTGTTACTGGAAGCAATTGATGAGATATTATTATGTGTCTGGTGTCGATCTCAAACCATCACAGCTACTTTGAATCAGCTGTTAGTTGATTTGTGATGGATTAAAAACAGATAAAAATCAACTGAAATTTGTTTTGAGCGGTAGTATTGGGAAGCAACTGTTTCATCGATTATAACCGAGTTTAGCTAATTAAAATTGATTCTGAATCAATTAAAAACTGACTATAATCATACACCTTTCAATCGATTACTAATTGAATAGGAATTGATTACAATCAGTCTTAATCGATAATAATCGACTAGTACAGCGAAATAACTGCTTTCTCTGATTATAATCGATTGTAGCTAATTATAATCGATTTTCAATTAAGACGGTAATCAATTTTAATCAGATTTTACCCCTATTTTTACGTGGGTATCATTGTAGGATTTTTCTTTAAATCTTTTGGAAGAAAAATAGCTTTATCTTTCCATTTTCTTTGAGTAACATAAAGAAAATTTCAAATTATTTAGTGGTTCATAGAATTATAAGATATGAGTAGAAGTAACCAAGAAAAACAAATTCTAAAGAAATGTAAAGAGCGAAAAAATGATACACTTGTCAGCTTTTTTTTCTTTTAAGTATAATTGTTAATGGAAGTTTCTGTTGCAAGATTCCGCCGTGTAAGACCATTTATATCAATATCATTCTCAGCATGAGGCAAAATCCCTCAAGTATACCAATCTAGCATGTCGACGAAAAGAAAAAAAAACAACCAGTAACACTATCAGTTAGAGAAGAAATTTTAAAAAGACAATAGTGAGGAAGCACCCATCATCATTTTCTTTTTTTTCCTCAATACTTCATCATGCAATTTGAAGCAGAATGGAAATTGTTAAGGAATTTCTTTACTTTTTGCGTTTTCTATTAAGAGAAAGAAAGTAAATGACATATTTTGTGCATGATATAAACTTACAGTCAGTGCCTCTGTAGTCAATGAATTCATTATCAAAATTGATTGTGCCATAAGAAGATAAAAATAATTTTTACTTTTCTTTGCCAGACAAAAGCTTTTAAAGACTTCTAGTATTTGGACGTGTATATCGTTTAGAAAAAGCTTGAAATTGAAGTTATACACTGCAAATGAAGGCATGATGTAGAAATAGGTTTCAATATGTATAAAAAAGACCAATTTTTGGTCAAATTGCAACAATAGTTACATCGTGTCTCACATTTTAAATTCCACAGGGATTGTGCTAACAGTTTTTTTCTGACTGGCATTGTTTTCTACTTCAATCGACCGATAGATCTCAGATGGAATTCAAAATAAACGTAGATGTTTTTTGAAACATCAAAACTTAATTAATTCCAACAAATGACACTTATATACCTCCAAATTAATGTAATGAATATATTACAAAAGCATAAACTTACAAGTCTCAAAATTCAAAATATACTGATAAGGAATCTCTCGGATTCATAAATCGCTTGTGAACGCATACTTTTAGAATATCGAGAGTAGAGGATAGCGACAAATACAGGGTCCTCAAGAAAACAATTCAGTAAAGTTGAGATCTCAAAGTCAAATAGCAAAATAGGTCGGTATTCTCTTCTCTGCGCATATATTCCCAAAGTATGAATTCAAAAGCCATATATTGCTTCAGACAGTTCTTTCGTCAGTAATATGGTATATGTTGATTCATTCTATTATTGTTTAGATTTAGTCCGAAACATCTACAGGCTAAAGTGTGTAATTTCCACCTGAGTTACATATGAACAAATAGTTTACTTATAAAATCTTAAAGGTGAATAGTGAAATCAAGTCTAGCATAATGTGCATTTGTAAAGGGTCTATCTCTGTGATATTTATTTGTTGGTTTTTATGAAGTAGTAGATTCACAAGCATATGTAGTCGCGTGTATTTGGCGCATTCTATCAAAGTAAATCATAATTTTTTGCAATGTTACAGACCAATTCATTTTATCTGCAAACAGTAGCGTAATGCTCTATGCACTTTTCCCCTGCGTGTTCAAATATTCACTTAGAATGGTTCGAATAGGCTTAAATTTTCAGAAATGAACCACCAAAACTATATCATACACAGCTTCGAGCAGTTCCTCTGCTTACTAAACGATATAATAACACTGTTCAAATTCACCAATGAACTGCAGCATGTAAAACAATCATTTCGATATAATGATTGATTTGCTGACTTAATCATCATTAAAATCAGCTCATTTGTCGAGTTGATAGCAATAGTATATACATCAATCAATGGAAACACATCAGCGAATTCTAAAATATTTGGAATTGAAAATTTAATACCACATTTGCTCATTCCTATGTATTGTAATTCAGCACTGGCAACATTCATCAACATAATACATTAGAAAACTAGAAAATATACAATATAACAATTATGGGAACATCATATAATATCTGAGTAGTTCATATTTTGTTACAAAAATTAATTTCTCTATGCACTATTTTTGATTAATATAATATTTTATTTGAGACTCAACTCGATGACATTCTGGCAAAATATTTAGCGAACACACTTGCCTTGCAACAGTTAATAGGCTATTCACTAATCTAACCTCGAGTATCGCCTGATGAGATTATTTCAGTAATACTCAAAATACGAGGGAGAAAAAGCGGCTCTTGATGGATCCATTGTATCCACCAGGATCCAAGAGGCGCTTTTCTCCTTGATGTGAACGCTTATTAAAGAATCCTACATTTAAATTTATGACTCATATTGATGATCATATTTTCAAGAAAATTAATAAAAAATTTGTCGCCATAGAACTCCAATTCTAGAATTATTTTGAGAGCTAAAAATGCGATTAATAGTACTTAAATCGAGCTGTGAAATGATGATATACTCTCATTAAGAAGAAATATTAAGTAATGGTACTCCAAAAGTAAAAGATACACTTAGTCATCACGAGTATTTAATGGTTTAAGTACTAGCATATAAGTGAAGAAAAATATTTTGAACAGTGTTGAAGGCCATTATTTCTGTAGTAATAACAATTTAAACACTTTCATACTTAATTCAACGAGTGTTTTTTCCTTTTATAGCAACTTAAGCAGGAAAAGAGAAATGCAGATGGTTAGTATTAAAATTATTTCGAATTCAGTTTGAAGGGTAACAGTATTAATAATGGAAAAATACTTCTTATGGATCATCTTTTTCTATAGCCATCTTTTACCATCGCTACATTCACAGATATTTCAATCTCGTATTTACTTAACTGCATTTGGCACTGCATTTCAACCTAGAAGCCCAATTGAAATACTAAGTTCATCTTCACAAATTCAATCTTTATTTAGATGTGCAATGCAATGTAATCAAAATCGGCAGTGTCGTACATTTGATTACAATTATTTACCACTCGTCTGTCGCCTATTTGAAGGTGAATTATCGACAGGAAATATTTTATATAATATCACATCATCATCCAGAATAGGAGCAATCCTTTACGATGTTACCATTCAGAGCTATTCTTCATATGGTCAAACATGCGAGCAATGTGGCATGGGTATCAACAGATACCTCCAGTGTATTAACGATACATGTCAATGTCCACCGGATACGTTTTGGAATGGGCAAATGTGCTTGAATCAATTGTATAATGGATCGAATTGTAATTATTCGTTGCCATCTTGTCGGCAAGACTTGAATCTCTCTTGTTCATATCAAACAAGCAAATGTACAGGGTTGGAAATAGGAGGTATGATTCAAAATACTATATCAATTTGAATAGCTAACTTTTTTACATTTGCATACCACGAAGAGTATGATTCCCGTAGTAGAGTGATTAGCATCTCCTGGCATTCTCAGTTTCAGATGATTGTCGTTGCTCTTGGTATAAATATAATGAATGAAAGAACAATTTTTAAACTGTTTTTTTTTTGCTATTTATCCACCAGCTATATTGTAAAGATTAGTGTACTTAGTGCTACACTGTAAAATAAAAACGTATATTAATATACCCTTAAAGGGTTTATTACTTTTGCCCCATACCCAAAAAATGGTTCATTATCCAGTCAGACAAACTATTAACAAAATGCGTAAAAACGTGTCGAAATTTTAACGAAAAAAAAACGTTAAAAGCGCACATTTCTACACTGTAAAAAAAGGGGTTTATGAAAGTGCAACGTGGCACATACCCATTTTCCAATTTTTGACATATCTGATAAACCCTTTTTCCAAATCATAAATCTAAAAACCGTTTATTATCTTCGTCATATACGGAAAAAAGAGTTTATGATACGTTGAACTTTCATTAACCCTGTTTTTGTTAAATACCTTATCAAAAACGTTTTTCCCGTTTATTATTCTGCGGATTTTTTTTACAGTGTACGCGTTTGTAACGTGTTAAAGTTACTATAACGAACATTACTTTGTTCAAAAGATTAACGCGTTATGAAAGCGTTAAAATGTGCGCTTTTCACGATTTTGTTTTCGTTAAAAACATCTACACGCTATTCCACGTTTTTTCTGTTGTTCGTCATACTTGGTCAGTCATCAAGAATTCTTCTTCCGTTACGTTATTTACTATCTGTTGAGAATGCGTTCCTTCCAGTTCAACCGATATCAAATAGTGAAACTTGTCTAACCTACTGCGTTGTCCAAGATTCAATCCTAAGATGTACTGATTGAGAGTTGAATGTGTTACCCATTCAACTAGTCTTACAATTGTAAGTTAGAGTGAAAATACTATTCGAATGGAATAAAATTAGGCGCATGGAGAACGAAATGAATTTTGACAATTTCTCGCGATACCTCATAAAATTAAAACTAATATTCATCTGAAAAATATACTTATATTTTATTAGATAATTAATAAAAGGATTTTCAACATTTTTTTATTATTATTTTAACATAAAATTCGAAAAAATCAATGAATAAAATTCTGAAAAAAATTTAAAACAATATATAAATATGTAAAAGAAAATATACACATGTTTTCAAGGTGGATTTTAGAAAATGTATGAATAAGTTTTAAAAATAATTCTTGAAAGGTATTTATATTGTTTTAAATATTTTTCAGAATATATTTACATATTTTTTGGAGTTTTTATATACTCACTTATTCAAAAAATTAATGTTTAGCCAAAACATTACATTTTTATTTAATATGAGGATAATTTTTTATTTCTAAAATATGTCTGATTTACGATAACTGAACATATTTATGTTGCAGTACAAATGAGAATTCTACAGAATTCAAAATTCTGCTATTGGTTGCTATTAATTTGTACTTATGAGTACGCAGGTTAAGAACGAAAATCGCCCACCCCCTAAGGTTTCATTCTCAATGGACTAAAACGATAGAGCGGGAAATTCTGCACATTTTTGTATGCTTGTTTTCTTTCTTTTCTTTTTTTCTGGCTACAAAAAAACTATTCGTATATGAAATAATACTAAAATTTACACGTAATAAAACCTGTTAAGAAAGAAAACGCGTTAAATCTCGTGAAATTAGAGTTGCTAAGCGATAAGATGCATAAATCCAAAAAATATCTACGTCTTTTAACTCAAAAAATATTGTAGCTCGTTAAAAAAGTGTTCGAGGATTCGTTAAAACGGTGTTTCAATGGGGGATTACCGTTAAAGCAGCATTTTAAGGAAATTTAAACTGGTTATAACAGGTTATTTTCAAACGCTTGTCTGACTAGGGTGTTATTCTCCCATGCCTAGAAAAAGGGTTTATTACACTGTAAAAAAAAAGCGTATAATAATAAACCTTAAAGGATTTATTATCTTCCTAAACCCCTCCATATTTTCAGATCGGTGAAACGTCGAGGTAAACCTAGAACAAAAATAAATTTATTAAATTTGTAAAATACTTACCATTTCATAATCTGCTCGACCAACTCTAAATAAAAGAAAAAAATATTTCTTTCACGTTTTATACCCTACCATTGAACGACTTGTTTGACGATATCTAAATAAAATAAAAATGCTTTGTTCAATTTGGTAGCTATTTTTTGTTCAAGAAGTCGTTTGATTAAGTATAAATGAAATAAACAAGTAGCTTCGTTCTAATTATATGCACGTATTGTTAAATAATACTAAAAAAACTGTTTCTTTTGAATGAAGAAGTCTTTCTTTAAACCTTGGCCGTAGAGGATTAAACGCTTTAGCGCAGAAAACTAAACCCTTTTCATTAAAGAGTAGATCAATAAATACCTGCCCGTACAATAAAATACCCTTTGTAAGAAAGTGATAAATCCTTTCTCGAAACCGTAGAATAGAATATCCTAGGAGACAAAGTCATATACCCTTCTTCTTAAATTTATGATTCATAAACCCCTTTTATTCTCATATCATCTTTTTTTTATAAATCCTTCGTTTCATAAGCCCTTGAAGGGTTTAGCAGTATTTGTAGAAAGTGTAAGGGTATATTATTCTACTCTTTTGGTTTAGAGTGTAGTACAAATGAATCTATGTTAGATGAATTGCTGAAAAATCAATTCATTCTTTATTCTATCTATAGTAATATCCACAGTTCCAATGACCAGCTCTCAAGTGTCTTCGCCAATGGCCAGCTCTCAGCTGTCTTCGCCAGTGACCAACGCTCAATTGTCTTCGCAAGTGACCAACGCTGTATTGCCTTCGCAAGTGACCAGGGTTCAATTGTCTTCGCGAATGACCAGCGTTCAATTATCTCCGCCAACGACTAGCGCTCAATTGTTTTCGACAATGGCCAACGCTCAATTGTCTTCGCAAGTGACCAGCGTTAAATTATCTTCGAGAATGACAAGCGTTAAATTGTCTACGCCAATGACTAGCGCTCAACTGTCTTCGACAATGACCAGCGCTCAATTGTCTTCGCACATGGCCAGCGTTCAGTTATCTTCGCTAATAACAACGCATAGGGTTACCAGTCAATCACAAACATCAAGTAAGATTCAGTTCAACTTTCGCAATGCCATTAATATTTTTTGACCCTCATGTTTTAGTAACGACAGTTACTTCATCTCCGGTCACTTCCATTTTCTGGGCTTTTGATAACAATGTGAACGATCTTTACAATGTGTACAATGGTGTTCCCACTAGTGTGACATATTACTCTCCAGGCATTAATGGTTATGGAACTGCAGCCCAATTCAGCGATAGCATTAGTAGCATTAATATACCTTCACCTTATGTTAATCTTCAAAATAGAAGCTATACTTTTGATTGTTGGGTTAATCCCGGAACCACGATGTACTCAAATGATTATCTTATTTTCTTTGTCTGTCCTGTGCAACAAAATGACAAATGTATGCAAGTGCTTATTCGTTATGGTAAACCAATGCTAACAATTTGGTACGGTGATTGCCTGAGTTCAAATAACATTACTGTTAATGTCTGGACACATCTCGCATTTGTCTTTGATTATCACGCCAACCAAGCGACACTCTACGTCAATGGAGCTGTTGATACGGTATGTACTAGTTATCCTTCGTTTCAAGGAACACCTACAGCAACATCTTGGATCGGATGGTCTTCTACTGTAAACAAGTATTATTCAGGTCTAATCGATCAACTTTCATTAGTTACAAGAGTCAAAACCGCTCGTGAAGTACTCGATGCAGCAACTCTCGTACTATATTATTCGTTCGACAATAATGTTTTGTATGATTCAGGCCCTAATTTTATTAATGGTACAGGAATAAATGTAGCATTTGCGTCGGGTCGTGTCAATCAAGCAGCCATGCTCAATACGACTCCATCGTACGTCACAGCAAGTAATCTAGTACTGTTCAGCCTTTTGAATCAGCCTTATTCATTTTCATTTTGGATTAATGCATACTCAACAACCAATGCTACTCTTGTTTATGCATGGAAATCGACCTTAAATAATAAATCATGTTTACCAATATTGGGTTTCACTTCATTAGGCTCCATTGTTGCACAGAAACGCAATTCTACAACAGTAGTAAGCATTGTTGGCCCTGTTATCAGTCCACATACTTGGGTTCATATTGCGCATACCTATTCACCTAGTGACGGCATTCGTTTATTTATCAATGGCACTTTAGTGGCAAGTAGTTCTTGGCTAGAATCTGTAGCATCGAAAGCTTCTACAATTAACATTGCGGTTGGTCACTGCATTAATGCTACATTATGCTCGTGTTCATCAGGTGTCATAATACCAGGACAATATAATGGACTAATTGATGAATTTCGATTCTATTCTCGTCGTCTAAATACGAGTGATATTCTCGCATTGACAAATCCATAATGTCCTTATTCAAAAATAGATTGAACACTATCTTTATAATACAACCTATTGTGCTACTCTCAATTCTTGCGCCTCATAAGGGGTGGGTGTGAATGGGTACTTCTCTAAGTTAGATAGATGCAAAGTAAAATACGATGTGCTTGAACTCTTGATCATTAGGGTGAAGGTTTTGTTTAGAGTTTATACTATTCTTGTGTTTTGTTATCAGTGTTTCAGTAAGAATTTATACTATGTTGTGTCAGACCGTTGTAATTTAGTAGATGTAAGTGTAGCTTTTCGTGTTGTTGGTTTGTTAACTAGAGGATGTTGGTGAAAATCAGTCAGTATGGACTTTGATCAGTGTGTTTTTAGAGGGCACATATATTTAGAAAGAAAATAGTGATAGCCAGTTTAATAGCACGATCTTGTAGCTGCCTTCTGTCAGTGCATAATGACTAATCAGACTGCTGGTTGCTAATGAGATACTAAAGCAAAGATGGATCTCTTTCTATGCTTTTTATATAGAACAATCGAAATGAAAGACTAATGCTACTTATTTTAGGAAATAGCAACCCGTGTATTCAGTTGATAACTACTTCAAAGAAATTAGTAATTAGATAGTATCATTTTTAGAAATATTTCCCATTCAATCAGTAGTATATGAAAATTGAGACATGTCAATCTGCCGATTAGATATTAGGTTCATTTCCAATAAAATTGAAAATTGCCCATAAAATGTGAATAAGATACTGAATAGTTCACTTATCGTATTAAATAGCCAATAAACGTGCGAGGTCAACTCATATGCTTCGTGTTGTCCAGATTTCAATGTCATCGATATAACCAAATGTTTCTAGAGTTCCATTCTTGACAAATAATCTTTCGAAATTAGCATAGATATCGCAAAAATATACGTGTGGAGACGGGAAGAATACACGAATGGATTTTTTACCTCAGAACCGTTTCCTATTTGCAGAATAGCACTAAAAACATATTGTCATTGAATATGAGATGAACTTACGGAGAATATTTGTAGAGTTGTCCACAACTTCTTCACCTGATGTCTTCATCTCCGAATCAACTGAAACCCATTCCAAGTCCGGCTTATGGGCGCCCATTTATACACTGATGTAAAATGTGACATTTCCAGCATTGATTAACTTAGCATATTGAAGTAGTTCAACTCGTTGATGCATCGAAACACGTTTCTACTCATCTCTGTAACCCGTAAAATAACATCGATTATTATCGGTATCAAGGGGGAAAACTGATTTCTTGATTTCTAGTGATTTCTAGTGATTTTCATCGCAGGAAATCAGTTTTATATGTAAAAGTCGCATTTTCGAAAGGCGTTGAAAATGTTTATAAATGAATAAAATCGGTGAGAAATCAATGGAATTTAAGGATAGTCATCAAATTTGGGGATCTTCATAGAAAATTAGAAAATCAGAAAAATCGCCAGAAATTACTAGAAATCAATATATTCTTTTTTTTACTGTATATTTGGAGAATTTTTGTAATATGAAATGATTTCTAGTGATTTTAAGTGATTTCTAATTACTCCTCATGTTTTTCTAACAGTCAAAATCTATTTTTAGGCTTTATTTTCGTCCGACCGCCTGTCAATGATTTCTGGTGATTTCTAGTGATTTCTGGCACAAGAAATCAGTTCCCTCCCCCTTGCCCAAAAGCAAACTGCAATTGTACCTGCACGCTATGAAGCATAATAATTGCTCTTAATCACAATGAAGCAATTGATTTTGTCATTACAATGAAAATAGGTTGTTATCTGGTTTATGGTTCGAATCTCAACGAGGCTCAGAGAGCAAAATATTAGAGAATGCGGCTTAGCGTTAGTGTTGCATTAATGAATATTATTTTTAATCGTTTACATTGGAGTGACGGAAATAATCTATGCTTTTCTAGTTAGTGCTAAGAAAATGAGTTATTAGCTTGAATTAGCTTTGAATCAATATTAGAATTAAAATAGCATTGATTAATACTAACACACAGATGGGTACATAAAATAATGCTAAAAGTCTATTTGAATTTAAATGATAATAGTAGAGTATCAAATGATTTTTTTCAGCATCACTGAATTAGTATGATAATGTTTTCTGAACTCTAATAGAAAAAATGTTAGCGTTTTTCCAAAAGTGAAGTAAGCCACTGCTCCTACGCAAGATCAAGTAAAAAATAAACCAAATAGTAAGGAAGTACTTATTTATAGCAGAGAAAAAAGAAAATTGAGATCTATACATTAAAATTGATTTAGGACAGTGGTATAACTACGACNTATGCATATAAGAAGACAATTCGATATCAACAAGGGAAAAGCATACCTCTGTGTCTCCAAGTATTCTTATTGTACTGCTAATGAATTTTCTATGAATTGCTGTATTTCCAAATATTTATACATAGAAATATATGGAAATACGCTTTTACTCATTTGAATATCAATCACTACTTAAGATATATCACGTCCAGTTCCGATTCCAGATTTGGAGTCAACTAGATTTGAGTAGCATTTTACTTGGATTTTTATATGAAATCCAACTACATTCAGATAGTATCTAGCAAAATTCAGTTGATTTCCGTCAAATTATTCAATAGTGTAGTCAATCTATGTGAATCCAGTGAAACCTTGTCAAATTTAATCGAATATCTGTCGAATATCACTCGATCCCAGTCAAATCCTGGTAAAATCCCTGTCAAGCCCAACCAATTACTGTCAATCACTGTAGAGTCGAGTCGAATCGAAGCCAACCGCTGTCGAATCTCATCGAATTTCTGTAAAATTCTGTCATATTCTACTCAAATCAAAGTATTCTATGTGCTTGAAATTGAGTTTCATGTATAACTAATCACCACAGTGATATGATTGACTGTGTCAAAAGTATAACGCCTTAAGATGAACTGTCTACCTATCTGTCGTAGTTATACCACTGTCCTAAATCAATTTTAATGTATAGATCTCAATTTTCTTTTTTCTCTGCTATAAATAAGTACTTCCTTACTATTTGGTTTATTTTTTACTTGATCTTGCGTATAGGAGCAGTGGCTTATTTCACTTTTGGAAAAACGCTAACATTTTTCTATTAGAGTTCAGAAAACATTATCATACTAATTCAGTAGTGCTGAAAAAAGTCATTTGATACTCTGCTATTATCATTTAAATTCAAATAGACTTTTAGCATTACTTTATGTGCCCATCTGTGTGTTAGTATTAATCAATGCTATTTTAATTCTAATATTGATTCAAAGCTAATTCAAGCTAATAACTCATTTTCGTAGCATTAACTAAAAAAGCAGAGATCATTTCCGTCACTCCAATGTAAACGATTAAAAATAATATTCATTAATGCAACACTAACGCTAAGCCGCATTCTCTAATATTTTGCTCTCTGAGTCTCGTTGAGATTCGAACCATAAAACCAGATAGCTGAACCTATTTGCATTGTAATGACTTAATCAATTGCTTCATTGTGATTAGGAGCAATTATTATTCTTCATAGCGTGCAGGTACAATTGTAGTTTGCTTTTGGGCAAGGGGGAAAAACTGATTTCTTGTGCCAGAAATCATGAGAAATCACTAGAAATCACCAGAAATCATTGAAAGGCGGTCGGACGAAAATAAAGCCTAAAAATAGATTTTGACTGTTAGAAAAACATGAGGAGCCATTAGAAATCACTTAAAATCACTAGAAATCATTTCATATTACAAAAATTCTCCAAATATACAGTAAAAAAGAATATATTGATTTCTAGTGATTTCTGGCGATTTTTCTGATTTTCTAATTTTCTATGAAGATCCCCAAATTTGATGACTATCCTTAAATTCCATCGATTTCTCACCGATTTTATTCATTTATAAACATTTTCAACGACTTTCGACAATGCGACTTTTACATATAAAACTGATTTCCTGCGATGGAAATCACTAGAAATCACCAGAGATCACTAGGAATCAGAAGAAATCAAAGAAATCACAGAAATCAAGAAATCAGTTTTTCCCCCTTGCTTTTGGGTCTCTACACTATATATTACAACTACTCACAAATTCAATGGAGTAATCCATCTTTTGAAGTTATCCAATCATAGCAAGCTCGCTCCGTAAATTGATTTCTGCATTCTAATCAATAACATCTAGGACGCCCAGCTATTGCAAAAAATATCAATCTAGTGAAGATGATTGTGACGCTGTGCTCAGATTGTTCATACATCACTTTTTATCTTCGCTGACTTTTCATTTTCAGCATATCTCTTGTCATTCATGCGTTCATAACAAATATTAGCTTGTCGCTTATTCTGTCGACACGAATACATATATCATCTTCCATAATTATCTTTCCTTTTATCCTCATCTTTCTATTGTTATGTCTATATTTTCTCTTGCTGTATCTTTTCCTTCTCTCTCTCTTGGTTGCGTATATAAGCACGTGCTGTAAATGTAAACGATTCGATCTGTGATATAAAGAAGTTGAATCAAGCGTGCTTGCATGAACGTAAGCACCTCTTGTCTCTAAAACCGTCACACTGATATTAAAATTCTCATGTATCTATCTATGTTTTTTAACAATATGATTTATTTTATTTTTCATTATATATCTGAAAGTCTTAACTAATAACTAATCAGAAATGGATATCAGACTTTACTTTTAAAATCCTATTAAATTCCAAATTGAAATGAATATTAGGATTTATTAAAAAATCCCCATGAATTTGAATTAATTCGAATAAAATCTCAATAAATCTCAATAAATCCCGATAAATCCCAAGACCAATCTAAATACCGGAATTCATTAAAAGATCCCGATCAATTTAAATAAAATAAAATAAAATCGTAATAGATCTCAATAAATCTCAATAAATCTCGAAACAGAAATAAATACCGGGATTTATTAAAAGATCCTAATAAATCCCAAATAAATAATTCCCGGTAGCTGCTGAGTATTTTTGTTGTAAGGAAGTTTAAGATAAAAAAATAAGATACTACCTTTTGAGGGTATACGGAACAAATA